ACAACACTAACATAATAAAAAACTGCGGTTGCCAACCCGCTCGCCAAGCGTGACAACTATGGCAAAAATCCCCCCCATGAGCAACGACGCAAATAAACGGCCCCCAGTTCCCGGCGGCCCCGCTATTCCTGGCTACGGTGGCGACCATGGTAACGGCGGGGCAGGGGGTGCTAAAAATCTCCGGTGGAAGTTCGGTTGCCACCTACGACGACTCGACCTGGCAACATATAGCGCACGCACGCTGAGGATTGACGAAAAGATACTGGAGCTGAGAGAAGAGGTAAACAAGTTGCGCTGGCATATTATAGGATTATCCGAGGTCCGAAGAGAGGGGGAGGACATGGTAATCCTCGAGTCCGGCAGCATTGTTCTATCACCGGGAGGGCGACCATCTGACCCAAGTAGGTGTCAGATTTATCGTCCACAAATCTCTCGTCAACAACGTTATAAAGATTGAGTTTGACGACGAGGGTCGCGTACCTGTTACTCAGAATCACCAAACGGTATTCACTGAAGTTCATACAGGTTTACGCACCAAACTCGGCACATCCCGATGAGGAGGTGGAGGAAATGTATGAGGATATCAATAGAGCCATGCATTCCTCCAAAACCCACTATACGGTGTTGATGGGAGATTTCACAAGAGAAAGCGGTGAGCTGAAGTTAGGGAAATTTGGAATAGGTCAACGGAACTCTAGGGGCCAGTAGCTGGCCGACTTTACGGAGAAAGAGAGACTCTTTATGATGAACTCTTTCTTCCAGAAGCAGCCCTACAAGAATAGGACCTGGTCGAGCCCCGAAGTTTCAACAATAAATGAGATTGACTTCATTATGACGATCAGACGCCAACTGTTCAATGATGTCACAGTGATTGCGAAGGTGAAAACTGGGAGCGATCACCGAATGGTTAGAGGCACACTGAACTTAAACATTAAGTTGGAGAGATCTAGTCTAATGAAGTCAACGCTCCGTCCCCTCGTGCGCTAATCCTTTCTAGGCTGCAATACAGTGGACGATATGAATGACAAGCTCGTGGAAATTGTCAATGCGGTCGGAGCTAAGTTCTGCAAGACCCGCCGCAGAAGAACACAAAAACACTCTGATCACTCTCTTAATCTCATGGATGTAAGACGGGAAATGAAGCTGCAGTCGTCAGCAGATTTGACAGCATACAGGCAACTGAACAGACAGATCTCCAAATGCATGCGACAGGACTTACGCAACTTCCAATAGAATACAGAAGTATTGAAGAAGCGTTTAAGCGGAACCAGGGCTTCAAAGTCTTTGCCAGAGATCTGTCTGCCAGAAAGAGCCAACTGTCAAAGCTGAAGACCGAGTGTGGCAGCATCGTTTACGGGACACGTGAGATTTTGAGTGAGATTGAGAGGTTCTATGGGCAGCTGTACACATCATCCTTGGAGCCACACGCAAGTATGAGTAACGATCCAAGAGCAAGTCTTATCCCACACTATGCCGATGATATCCCGGGCGTGTCTGAGCGAGATTAGAATGGCTCTCCAGCACCTTAAAAACGGCAAGTCCCCGGGCGAGGATGGAATTACAACGGAGCTTCTGAAAGCGACTGGAAAACCGGTACTTGAAGTCCTTCAGAAGCTCTTTAATTCCGTCCTCCATGTAGGTACTACTCCCGAGGCATGGAGCAGAAGTGCGGTGGTCTTGTTATTCAAGAAAGGTGACAACGCTCTCTTGAAGAACTGCAGGCCGATATCCTTTCTGAGTCGAGTCTACGTGCTGTTTTCGAGAGTCATTACGAATCGTCTCGCACGCAGACTCGACGACTTCCAGCCTCCCGAACAAACCAATTTCCGGAAAGGCACCTTTACCTTTAGCACCATAGACCATACGTACTCTTCGGCAAATTGTATTGTACAGAAGTCCGAAGAGTAAAATCTGCCAATTTGCCTGGCGTATGTGAAATATGAGAAAGCCTTTGATTCCGTCGAAATTTGGGCGGTGCTACAGTCTCTTCAGCGGTACCAAGTTGACTGTCGGTATATCGAAGTGCTGAAGTGTTTGTACAGTAGGGCTACGATGGCTATCCGAGTACAGAACCAGAGTACGAAACCTCTCCAACTGCAGAGAGGTGTAAGACAGGGTGACGTTATATCCCCGAAACTCTTCACCGCTGCATTGGAAGTAGTATTAATATCAATGGAGAGTACACGATATAGTCCTTATGGCAGAATCTCAGGAGGACCTAAGCACTATGCTCAATGACCTCAATAGTGCCTCCCAACAGATAGGTCTTAAGGTTAACATGGACAAAACAAAGATCATGTTTAATATCCATGTCACACCTACGCTGTTGTTGATGAGAGCACTAAGCTCGAAGTTGTTGATAAGTACGTTTACCTGGCACAAATAGTCCAACAAGGCAAGTCCAACTTCGACAGAGAGGTCAATCGTCGGATTCAACTCAGCTGGGCAGCATTCGGGAAATTACAACACATCTTCTCGTCAGGTATACCTCAAAACCTTAAAACCAAATTATATAACCAGTGCGTGTTGCTAGTGATGACCTATGGAACTGAGATGTGGTCCCTCATTGCTGGCCGTATGAGGACGCTTAAAGTCGCTGAGCAAGCTATGGATAGGGCTATACTCGGGGTTTCTCTGTGTGATAAACTTAGAAATGAGGATATTCACAGTAGAACCAGAGTGACCGACATAGCTCAACGGATTAGTAAGTTGAAGTGGCAATGGGCCAGCCATATAGCTCGAAGAACCAACAACAGTTGGGGAAAAAAGGTTCTTGAGTGGCAGCCTCATACTGGTAGGCGAAGTGTAGGGCGACCCCCCACTAGATGGAGTAACGACCTGATAAGACATGCAAGAAGTCGATGGATGCAGGTGGCTCAGGACCGTGCTTTGTAGCATACCTTAGGGGATGCCTATGTTCAGCAGTGGACTTGTGAAGGGCTGTAATTATGATGATGATGACTACACTCGAAGTGGTTAATGTGAATGTTTGCTGTTACCATTAGAGTCTTTCAAAAGTACACTTCTGAGCATAGGCCTCCCCAATAAAATGCCTCTAAGGAGGTATATTTACCAAATTTGCCATTGCCGGCGACTTAGCAATTACAGTTTTTTTTTTTAGGATGAATTTGGCAAACTGCTCTCCACCTCCTAGTATGTTTCTCTCTGTCTCATGGTAAGAAATAGGGTAGTGGATATTTTTACACCGCTACTGCACAATTACGGACGGGTATTGTTCCAATCTAGGGTATTGTACAAATTGTAGATCCAGATTCAATCAGCTGGGCAGTGTTTGAGAAATTATGACACCTATTCTCATCATATATAACTCAAAATAACTTAAACTCAGAACAAGAGCATACAACTAGTGCGTGTTGTCAGTGATGATATATGGATTCCATGGTAGATACTCACAGCAGCTTTTGCTGGTGCATGGCTAGCTCGAAACAGGGAAGTATGGTAGCTTCAGACAATACAAATGCAGAAGTAATAGTATTACTTCTGCATTTCGTCTGGTAAGTGCAAGTAACCGGAGGGCCCCCAAAGCTACTCCTCTCTCCCTAAATTGCACCGATACTGAAAACAAGCCTACCCCAGGTGGGTACCAATAACCATGGTAATGGAGAGTCTCTCACTAAGTATCCATGCCTGAGCTCTGGTCAGAGATCACTCTAACATTGGAACCTGAGTCATCATATTAATTCTATCCAGAGTACAAATTAGAACACTTGTTTGTACTTCAATGTGGGGTTAGCATATACATTAGAGACAATCTCTGTTCTCGGCACTGCTACAGTATTGAGGTAGACAGCAACAACCATCCCTACCGCTAACACGTCTACTGGTACCTTCTAGGTTGCACATTTTAGCATTGGAGTCAAACCTATTAATCAGCTATTTTTTCCGACCATCACAACTTGGAGACATTCAAAAAAACACCTATTCCTTTTTAAAACTCCTGTAACACATCTGCAATTCTCCTGATGTTTGCAGTTGTTCCAGATCGAATTTCAGTCATAGCGGCCAGCCTCAACGGAGACTAGCCATCGGCGTAGGACAGGATTATTGTATCCAAGAGTATGCATAACCACGGGTACAATCTCTATTCCCCCAATCTCATAGATCAATGGGACAATAATCTGACAGACCAGAGAGATCAGGCACAGGACCAACGGCTTACTTGCTTTCCGAGACACAGGGGTGATACTCGCCAACTTCCTGACTCTGGGGAGCTACTGAGAATTTCTTAATTGAAAAACTCAATAACTTTATTTGGCCTAACCCGAAATTCAAACCTGGGTCCTCATGATCAGCAGTCACATTTACAACCACTAGACCAACGAGGCAGTGATATTCACGAACCCATCAGGTGAGCTGCATGCTTGTTTGTCTCTGTGCAAAAAATGGCTCTGAGATGTGGTCTTTTAATACTGTCAGTATGAGGAATTTCAAGGTTGCTCAGTGAGATATTAAGAGGGCTAAAGTCTGAGTATCTGAATACAACATAGCCCAATGAATCAATAAGCTGAAGAAGAAAATGGGTCTTAAAAATAATTTATGCAAAGTTAGGGTGGAGTTCCATTAATTGGAGTGACAACCTGGTAAGAGATGCAGGAAGTTGATAGATGCAGTTGATCATGATTCAGGACAGTGATATATGGCATTTCTTGGGGAAGCCTATGTTCAGAAGTGGACTTGAGATGGGTTGTAATAGTGATTATGATGAATATAGGATGCAACATCAGAGACACGAGAATCATTACAACATTTTTGCACAATGTTAGCTCTGGCCAGGTACACAGAACCCTATGCCATGCATTGAAATATGAATACTAGTGACATTAATAGCATTGCTAGTGCTCTTTTTTAAAGAATTTAGTTACAATGTAAGATTGATTTTATTTACAACATTTTTTTAATCATTTTCCATTTATTGAAACTGTTTGAATACACTTCCCCATTTAATAGAGAAGGAATGTGTTATTTATATATTACTATACCATTTTGAAAGTGATGCAAAGTGTGAGAGGAAGTAGATGAGCTTGCACCATCATCATTGTGATCCACAGAAATATTTTCTCGATTCTGAACAGTCAAAGGTAATGCACGAGGCTGGGGTCTTACTGGAACAAATCTTCCAAATCCACTCTCATATGAAACAGAGTTGTCTAAAATAAGTAAATACAAGTAAATAATTTATAAGTATTATTTTGATTAAAAAAAAATCAACTACTTACCTAAGTCTACCAACTCTTGATCTGATGTATTGTTAGCTGGTTTTCTTGGTTGATTACAATTAGTTCGTGTATTGTACTCAGAAACAGGAACCCAATCCAAAGATGTCTAAAAATTATAGGTTTGGAAATTCTTAATTATTTACAGAAATAAAAAATAGGGGAATGAAATAATGAAGCAGTAAAATCTTTTAATAAATTTTGTAATTCTTGTGTGATGAACGAATACCTTCTTCAGACTGAATTTAGAAAAACAAGCTCCCATATGGCTGTAAATTTAATTTTATCATAAATACATCTACTAGGCTTTAGGTTTAACTAAGCAAAAATACCTTAAGAATATTATTAGATTAGAACAAACTCCTGAGCGTAGATATTTGAAACTAAACCAATTTGGCAAACATCCAAATACAAATCTCTCCCAAGTTTCTAAAAATAATATGAAGCATATAGTAGCAAAAACTTTAAGTTTGTATGGTTGACAGAACTAATCACTCATAATAATATTAGTTGAAATAAGTTACTAAAATGTTATTGTCTCTAGTGTCATCAATCTATAGTGTCAATAATTTAAATTAAAGGGAAATGCTTTTCCTAATTTACATCCGATTTAATAAACAAATATTTTATGAGAAAATTGTTAATACCGTCACAAGGTTTGTTGTCATATCTCTCCTTGTTGGTGTCACAGCTTCTTGCGGTACATTGCAATTATTTCTTGCTTTCGTTTTGGGAATAGTACCCGTATGTCCTGGATGCCTCTCTTTGTTTCCAGGAGCCATAACACACTTTTTATTGATGTTTTTTTTTTATTTTTAACAACTTTCAAAATATTTTTCGACAAACATTATCATCACTACGTTGTCTTTGCCTATTATTGGATATTTTTTCTTTTGATCGTAAGATGAATCTATTTCAGCTCTTTAAAACAGTTTACTTAAAAATATTATTTAGTTTTAAATATTTTTAAAATGATTGAAGTGAATTAATTATTGAAGTGCATTTTTAATAATTTATGCTTCAATTGAGAATAGTTTAACTTTTTTTTCTTAGTTGCAACCACAGAACAGTGCTGCCAATGCCAACATTAAAATCTAGCTCCCGTTGTAGAAAATACTATAATCGTAGACAGAGAAACCTATAGACTAATGATTAGCGTGGCCTCGAGTGAGAAAGGGCGATAACGTAGTTTTAGGTTATACAATAATTATTACGACTTTTAAACATATTCAGATAAAAATTTTAATTGTTCTAAGAACTGAACTGAACAAGATTCACCAATCTTAAGCTCACAAAACACTTTTTTCTCACTTAAACCAACTTGTAAACTCCTTAAATCGCTACGAACTTTCAAACTTGTTTAGCAAACTGTAGAGTTTGCTAAACACAAAAAACCGGCACGGTGAAAGGGACAAACAATCACACCGCTCTATCTCATTTCTATGAAAGACGTATGCATAAATCTATTTTTTTCGTGTGCGAATGCGAAAGAAGGAGTCAATTTGTCTATAGGTTTCTCTGTCTACGACTATAATCCCGTCAAAACCCGTCTAGTACGGTGGACAAGTGTCAATCATTCATTTCTAGTGACCGAATTATTCTAGTACATTTCGTCACGCGTACTGGTGTACATTCGGATCGATTATACAAATGGATCCAGTACTCTGGAGTCTGTGAGATCCATTGGAATCCGAACATTTTCTATTTGAGATTTGTAATAGCGTAATCTACTACATGCTATAGGTAATAAAGTCATTTTATCGAACTATAACTTATTGACTTTCAAGGATATCCCAGGTTCACAGGATATGCGACTGAAACAGTAAAGAGAGAGAATGAAACAAATAGAGTAGTTGATAGTTTTCTATATATTCAACAGTAGCGCATCATTTTGGCCAACCAACGACAAAACAGTTTCCTAGCTGTATTTAAAAGCATTACGTCAAATGAAAATTTACTCTCTCAACAACTAAAAAAATGAATAAAAAAAACAAATCTAAAAAAACATTAATTTTTGTTGTCCCGTTAAAAAATAAGTTACCCGTTAAACACAATTTTTTCCCGTTGCAACCTCGCTGTCCCGTCAAATCTAACGAGAATCCCGTCCAGTTGGCAACACTGCCACAGAAAATATAATCATTTCAGTTTATAAAAAGTACTCTGTGCATATAATATACCCCAAAAGTGGCTGTTGTAGACCATGGAGGTTACAGAACAGGAGAACGATCACTGTAGAAAATAGTGTCCCAAAAATAAGGACAAAATAAGTGAGACGCTGTGATCACTAAGTTGTTTCAATAAAAGCGGGCTGTTGTGCGCTAGTTTGATATAATTTATAATATCATTATAATTGAAAGGAAAAAAGAAAATAACGAAATTATTATTATAATTATTTATTAATAAATAAATTATAAAATGTTTTTTATAATTTTAATTATATTATAAATATTATAAATCAATAATCAATAATAATATCAATTATCAGATTCAACTCTGCTGGGCAGCGTTCAGGAAATTGCACCCCCTGCCACGCTATCCGTGAAATTCTGCCACATCAGGGGACTTCATTCAAACCTTAACGCCGTCGACTACCATCTGGAAATGGCGAAGCCGTCCTTGCTCTTTCTAACCGAGACACAGGTGTCCTCTCCGGCTTACTCCAATCCACCCGGTACTCATTAGAACCTCCTTCCAGAGAGCACATCTGTTTTAGACTCCTCGGCAGCCTTGAAGGTACAAACCTGTCCATCTTATGGCTGCGAGTAGACAGTGACGACCATTCCCATATGTACGCGTGCCTCTATAGGTCCCATAGTGGTAATGCCGACACAGACCGACTGATCGACCACGTGCAGATGGCTGCAGACTCCGTGATACTTGGTGATTTTAACGCCCACCACGCTGAATCGCTTGGTTCTCGTTTAACCGATCATGCGGGAAGAGCTGTTTATGACTTTGCTTTGGCATATGATCCGACACAACTGGTAACCTCGCCTACGCGGATTCCAGATGTGGAAGATCATGTACCTACTCTGTTGGACCTATTGCTGACCACTCATTCGGACGGATATTAGGTCGCCGTTGATGCTCTTTTGGCTCCTCGGACCATTGTCTGATCCGGAGTACGGTGGTGGTACACTCACGCTCCCATCGCGGTTGAGTACTGCAGATTGCTGCCGTGTTTGGCATGGACCGTTGGGACGGGGACCTTTCGAGTTTTACTAAGAAAGGTAGGCTCCGATTTAACATACTTTGAATTTGACATCAAAAATTTTGGTCCTGTAGCTCTGAATGAATTTGAGTTGGAAGTATTAAGGCTTGAGTATGAATGGGATGTACGAGCCGTTTAATAGTCTGGATATTTGTTCCGGCGCGCCTAAATTGCTCCAAACACTTTGAAGTTGTTTCAGACAGCGGCCATAAATTTTTTTCAAATCAAATCAAATTAAATAATTTATTTGTAAAACATAGGTAAAAAGTTACAAACTTGATGGAAAAGGTATGATAAGTAACACTATGTTTCACCTAAAAATGCATACAAAGATTTGTTTATCACTATCACCTCGCAATATGAAAATTTATTTTTAATAAAATAACAATTTCAATTATAATTCGTATGTTTAGAAATTACATATTTCTTAATACCATAAAGATAAATAAATCGGACATTAATTATTGTAGGTACTAAAAACCATTCATATTTCCATTTTTATTCTTTTGACGAGACATTTAAGACGGTCATATTTAAGGGAAGAATGCGACTGCGATTTCTTTCCTCTTTGTTTATTTTTGCCCAATTTATCTTGATTCGTTTGGTTGCATGGGCATGGTGCACGTTTTCCTCTTTTCGAGGGATTGTTTCGATGAAAAAATATATCACCAGCTTGTTTACTCGTCGATGGCCTTTGATTAGCATAAAAAAATTCTTTTTGAGTACCGAGGCATTGATCGGGATGAAGTGATCAATTTATCTGCCCATCCAATTTTCTGAAGGTAGGTCTGAATGGAATAGTCGTTGAACAGAGTTTCTACGTTAGGAGGGATTTTTAGCAAATCCTCGCCCAATCTACTAGTGCTTGTAATGCTCTTTGTAATTTCTCTTTTTGGCAAATTAAAGCGTTAGTTAATACGGCGAAGGAACGTTCTAGCAAATAAGAACGAGGATCATCACGCAACATTGCTGATTCAAATCGTTTTAGCGAATCAACTTGCTGTAAAGTTCGACTCAACCGGGGGTAGATAAATATTTCTTCTGGGCATCGATAAACCGTACAGCATACCAATCATCACAATTAAAATGCTTACTAATTTTTTTAATTTTTTTTTTAAATTTTTTTTTTTGCGCCCGAAGCACTTAAATATGATGGGTTATTTGGCAACCACTCCGGAAAGCGGGGGAGGGAGGTGGTGAATGCTCATAGCATACCACGCAGCCGTCTGCGTGGTTATGTGTCTGCGACTTTTACCCACTAAACACTGCTATCCGCCACCTTTTAGGAATAATAATGGCTTAAATTCGACACTCTGACTGGAGATCTCTAAGTTAGTAAAATTAAACCCTGTATACGAACGCTGACCCCTTGGCAGAAAGGCGGGAAACGCACGAGACCTGGTCCTCATCACTACTTAAATAACAAAGGAAAAACAGTGGTGGGGTGCCCCCTCCATGCAGGGTAGGTAGCCGGAAGTGCTGACTTTAGGCTGAAAGACAAGTGCTTGACTCAAGATGGATTCCGGATATTGATACATAACAAATAATAGAAAAATTTACTACTTTTTGTAATACTTTATTATAAAATCTAAATAAAAACTACAAACCGGTTCGGCAGACAAACCCGCATGTTTAATTAACTTATCGATAGCTAAAGTTGTGGCGTTCATCACAATAGTGCAATACTTTCGGTTGCAGTGATTCCAGTTCATTTTTATAAAAATTGCAAACTTTTGCTACGAGGTAGCAAGTTTCGATTTGACTTATGGCATGTATTTTGTAGAATATTTTAATAAATACTAGTTATCGATTATATTTAAGTATATAATATTCATTATCGTGTTGAAATTGAGCTGAATATATAAATCATTTAACAAAATCTCTACACATCTATATATAATGATTATTATTCATCACAAACTGATTTAGTTACATTGAAGTAATATGTATTTACGTATAATAGCTCAATGTTTAGTTATTAGGAAATATATTTTCGTTAATATATATAAATTGTGTAGTAAATTATATTTATTTCAAAATATTCTTCACTTTATGAACTATGATGGCCACACTCGGTATTGGACGAAAGTATTCAGAACGTACGAGTTTTAATGAAAATATTACCTTAATATTATGTTAAAAATATTCACAGATGAAAAGTCACGTTGTTCTTTTGTATTGACGTTACAAGCCACTGCAATTATAAAAAATGCTGCGATTTCATATAAAGAACTACCCTTTTACTAAATAGCACATCTCTTACATTAAAAAATTCATGCTCACCCTACCTATAAAAAAATATAATAAAGGTACTCTGTGATTTGACGTTTTTGATTGTTTTTATTTTTCATGTAAATACACTGCAATTCGGCATTTTGTCGGAGCTCAATTTACTGGCACGATCACTTCGGAATGGCGCACGACACGGAACAACTAGTTTTATATAACGGGTATGGGTCGAACTCTCGTACATTTTGCAGAGGGGTATGCCTTGCGATGCCGTCTGCTTTGGTTTAATACTCAAACACAGTAAATCAATATACATCGAAAAAAAATCCGAGATATCGGCTT